AGGGCTTATTTTCCAGTTGGGTCTTATTTTCGGGGAAATACGGTACTGAATGCATCCATCTGGCTGACAATCGTAACTGGAGCTTATTTTGGGGGTAAGGCTTATATTATGAGCATCCTGAAAAATCATGCTAGGGCTTATTTTCCGGTTGGGTCTTATTTTCGGGGAAACAGGGTAAGTAGAGGACTGCTTGTACTCTATTTGGAAAAGGATTGCTTCCGTTTGAACAGCTGCCAAGAAGGTGAAAAGTTTCTAGTTGGTTTGTTGGTTGCCAAATCAGAGACGGTAAAAAGGTTGTTGCTCTCTATTTCCGCTTCTGCGGAGTCCCTGGTGCTCTCTGAGGTTGGTTGTTTCCTTGCAGACATTTCATCACCCAACTAGGTAACGTCATCAGGGCATCTCTGATGAAACATCTGCAAGAAAACAACCATGCTCGGAGAGCACCCAGGATTCCGCAGGTCAACCCTGAGCTACAAATATCCTCTTCCATTAGTTCCCCTTTTTGTGTGGCTTATATTCTGTCTAGAGAAAAACACACAATGATGCGGGATGTTGGGAGTCAGAAGGAAGAGCTGCAGTCCAGGGGCGGGCTTCAAAAATTTTAGCAAGGGGTTCTCTGCCCGGTTGCTTGGTGGGTGTGGCCATGGTGGGCGTGGCCTAGTCAGCCTCCTGAACCATGGAGGGGGGCCGTGTTTTTGCCCTCCCCAGGCTTCGGAGCAGGGGTGAAATACTCCTGGTTTGGACCGGATCGCGCGATCCGGTAGCGATGGCGGTGGGTGGTTCGGAGAACCGGTAGCAAAACTCCCTGTGCCCCCCCCCGCCATGCCCAGCTGAGCTGCACGATCATCAGAGGGTTTTTTCTTTTACTTTTAAAAGCATTTTTTCTACAACCTCTTCCAACGAAAAAATGCTTTTAAAAATAAAAAATAAAAAGCTTTTCAAAGCATTTTTTTCTGCAATCTCTTGGCCAAAGAGGTGGTTAAAAAAATGCTTTGAAAAGTCTCTGACGATCCCAGCTGATTTGCCTGATTGGCAGAGAGGTATTTTTAAAAAAGCCTCTCTGACGATCCCAGCCGAGTTGCCTGATCGGCAGAGGCTTTTCAAAGCATTAGAAAAAATGCTTTGCAAAGTTAAAAAAAAAAAAGTTGGCCACGCCCAGCCACTCACATTACCCCACCACCACCAAGCCACATCCACAGAACTGGTAGTAACAAATTTTACATTTCACCCCTGCTTTGGAGGCTTTCCTTGAGCCTCTGGGAGGGCGAAAACTGCCTCCCCAGGCTCCGGAGGCCCTCTGGAGGCCCTTTCCAAACTTCCGGTAGGCTCATTTTTCACCCACCCCGAGCCTCTGTGTTTGCCCTGCACTTACCTGCATCCAAAACGGGCCGCGAGGGGACTCCTGGGAAGGGCAGGGTGGGGTGGGCGGGGCCAGCCAGGAGTGGGATTTGGGGGATCTCCGAACTGCACAGAATCTTAGTTAGAGGTTTTCCCGAACCCCTGCGAACCCCCAGCAGCCCACCCCTGCTGCAGATTAAGCAATGGTCAGATAAGAGGCGGCTGAGCCTGCAGAAAGAAAAGGGGTGTGTGGCAAACACCTCAAAAGGATGCTTTCCTAGTTTCTTGGGCTGTGGAGAAAACAGGGGGACTGATGTACAGGTGTATCACTAAATGTCTATGGCAGGGGTGTCAAACTTAAAACCCGGGGGCCGGATCCGGGCCGTGGAGTGCTGAGATCTGGCCTGCGGGGCCACCCTGGAAACAGCAAAGTACCGGCCTGTGGTGCCTCTGCCAGCAAAAGCAGAGCTTGGAAAAGCTGCATGCAACCCTCCCGAGCTCCGTTTTTGCTGGCAGAGGGTTGCAGGAGGCCATCGCAGCCAAAAACGAAACTTGGAAGCCCGTTTTTGCTGGCAGAGTGCTCGGGCCGCCACAGGCACCCCGAACCCGAGTAATGTTGAGCTGGCTACGCCCCCTGGCCACGCTCACCCTAGCCTCCCAAGGTCAAACACAACCCTGTGTCAGGTTTCGAGGTCGTCTCAAATAAATTGCATTTCAAACAAAGTCTTTGAAGGAAAACTCCTATTTATTAAGCACGACATTCTAAAATCCGACTCCATCGAAGCCAACACTGACTTCCAGACCCCAAACCCTCCCTTTCCGTTCCCCACTCCCCTGCACTCATTGGCCATTTTCCAAGTCATTCTACCCCCAATCTACCGCTCCAGCTCAAAGGAATTTCCCCCCTCCCATCCCATCTCCTAGGGGATATTATCTCCAGGGAAAATAAGTAGGTGAAAAATCAAACATCCCTTTCCAGACGCCTCCGCTTCTCCTTCTTATGTCAGCATTAGAGTAAATGCAGCTTGAAGTGCTGACATCCTGATGTGGCCCTCAATGAAATCGAGTTTGACACCCTTGGTCTATGGGGATTCTCACTCATCCAGGTCGTGGTTGTCCCAAAGGTGTTTTTTTAGAGTAGAGTAGAGTAAAGTAGAGTAGAGTAGAGTAGAATAGAATAGAATAGAATAGAATAGAATAGAATAGAATAGAATAAGATAGAATAGAATAGAATAGAATAGAATAGAATAGAATAGAATAGAATTTTTTATTAACCAAGTGTGATTGGACACACAAGGAATTTGTCTTGATGCATACGCTCTCAGTGTACATAAAAGAAAAGATATATTCATCAAGAATCATAAGGTACAACACTTAATGATAGTCATAGGATACAAATAAGCAATCAGGAAACAATCAATATCAATATAAATCGTAAGGATACAAGCAACAAAATTACAGTCATACAGTCATAAGTGGGAGGAGATGAGTGGTGGGAACGATGAGAAGATTAATAGTAGTGCAGGCTTAGTAACTAGTTTGACAGTGTTGAGGGAATTATTTGTTTAGCAGAGTGATGGCATTCAGGAAAAAACTGTCCTTGTGTCTCTTTGTTCTGATGTGCAGTGCTCTATAGCGTCGTTTTGAGGGTAGGAGTTGAAACAGTTTATGTCCAGGATGTGAGAATATTTTCCCAGCCCTCTTTTTGACTCGTGCAGTATACAGGTTCTCCATGGAAGGCAGGTTGGTAGCCGTTGTTTTTTCTGCAGTTCTAACTATCCGTTGAAGTCGGTGTCTGTCTTGTTGGGTTACAGAGCCAAACCAGACAGTTATGGAGGTGCCGATGACAGACTCAATAATTCCTCTGTAGAACTGGATCAGCAGCTCCTTGGGCAGTTTGAGCTTTCTGAGTTGGCGCAGAAAGAACCTTCTTTGTTGGGCTTTTTCGATGTCGTTTTTGATGCTGGGTGTCCATTTTAGATCTTGCGATATAGTAGAACCTAGAAATTTGAAGGTCTCTACTGTTGATACTGTGTTGTCTAGTATTGTGAGAGGTGGAAGTATGGGAGGGTTTCAAGAGGCAACTGGAGTTTCTGCTTTTTCTTTGAAGACATTTCACTTCTCATCCAAGGAGCTTCTTCAGCTCAATTATGCAGGTGGTCCTCGATTTACAACAGTTCATTTAGTGACCGTTCGAAGTTACAACATCACTGAAAAAAAGGACTTACGACTGTTTCTCAGGCGACCGTTGCAGCATCCCCACATATCACGTGATCATAATTCAGACACTTGGCCACTGGTTCATATTTATGACGGTGGCAGTGTCCCGGAGTCCTTCGATCCCCTTTTTGCGACCTTCTGACAAGCCAAGTCAATGGGGAAGCCAATTTTACTTAAGCACTGTGTTGCTAATTTAAAAACTGCCCCGATTCGCTTAACGATTCTATCAAGAAAGGTTGCTAAATGAGGCAGAGCTCATTTAAGAACTGTCTCGCTTAGAAAGGGACATGAGATGACCCGGGGCGTGGCACAAAGGCAACATAGCCAGAGAACCGGTATGAATCCCTTTATTGGCACCAACTCTGCCCCCAACGTCCCTTTTACGGCCTGGAGAAAAGCTCTCCCACAAACCTGCAGATACTCCAGTCCAGGGGTGAAATGCTCCTGGTTCAGACCGGATCGCCCGATCCAGTAGCGATGGAGGCGGGTGGTTCGGAGAACGGGTAGCAAAAATCCCTGCCCCCCCCATTGCCCAGCTGAGCCGTGCAATCATCAGAGGCTTTTTTTTTATTTTTAAAAGCATTTTTTTTACAACCTCTTTGGCCGAAGAGGTTGTAGAAAAAATGGTTTTAAAAGTTTTTTTAAAAAAAAGGTTGGCCACGCCCACTCAGTCATATTACCCACCACCACCACCAAGCCACGCCCACAGAACCGGTAGTAACAAATTTTACATTTCACCACTGCTCCAGTCCCAACGCTGCAAACAGAACGACTGCAATCAATCACTCCAGCAGGGCAAGATATGGAGTCCCAGAGGGGAAGAACGATTCCAGCAAGACAAGATAGGCACAGTAGCATGGCAGTAATTCAGAGGGTCAGGAGGGAATGCCAGGAATGCAGGCCACAACTCTCAACACCAGATTAATTCAGCGTTTGTTCCCGACAAACACCCCTCCCAGTTGCCTCGCCTTTAAACTCCATCCCCAGGTGTGCCTTGTGAAGGGAATTGGGGCCTTTTCCTTCCTCCTAAGCCACACAACCCACGTTGCTCTCTTCTGCGTTCTTCCCTGCGCGCCTTAGGATGAGGAGAGGGTGGGCCTTGGTCTTCATCTGAAACCCCTCTCTTTTGTTCTACCTCTCCCCTGCTCTGCCCAGCCTTCCCCAGTTTCCTCCACAGCCAATGGAGCCACTCTCCTGCTCTCCGTCAGCTGTTCGTCTTCCGTCTCAGATTCAGACTCTGACAGGGGCATGACAGGACATTTTGGGCTCAACTGTGGTCGTAAGTCGGGGACTACCTGTAAATGCAACGGCTCTGCAATCCTCTCCGCACGACGCCGCATACATTCCCTGTTGTGCAGCCATGGAGCAATGTAATCCAGGCTTAAGGCTGCCGGGAGGAGCCTGGATGATTCACACAACGTCTTCTCTTTCTCCTTTCCCAGGTCCCAAGCGAGACGTTCACGCGGCCAAACGCTTCATCTTCGAGATGTACGACGACATCTTCCACCAGTGTCTCGACGAGCCTCTTTGTGGCGGTTCCCCTTCCGCCTTCAGACCCCGGTTCCTTTACCACCATTACACCTGCGCCACCGACACGCAGAACATCTGCGCGGTTTTCGCGGATATCAAGGACGCCGTTCTGGCCAGCTACTTGGAAGAGTTCAACCTGGTTTGAAGAGGCCGGCTCCAGGTGCATCACGGAATTGCTGGGCGTGCAAATCCAGATGTGGCGTCGGTCGTGAGAAACAGAGCTTGCAAGAAGCTGAATTCACAAGGAAGCATCCCTGCGGGTGATGCCTGGATGGAAAAAGCGACTGTTTGTCATATCCTTTGCCCCGTCTTCCTGTGGGAACCTTGGACCGAACGGGGGGCAATCCGGAGTCTCAGTGCTGGGAAGGATTTTTTGAAATAATGTTGCAGCTGCACCACTGAACAGATGTACCAGAATAAGAGTTAGAAGGGACCTCGAAGGTCTTCTAGTCCAACCCCCTGCTCAAGCAGGAAACCCGACACCATTCCAGACAAATGGTTTCCAATCTCTTCTTAAAAACCTCCAGTGATGAAGCATCCGCAACTTTTGTAGGCAAGTCGTTCCGCTGATTAATTGATTAAATTAATCAACGGAACTGATTATCTGAATAAAGCAGGGGTGCTATTCAGCAGGTTCTGACAGGTTCTGGAGAACCAGTAGCGGAAATTTTGAGTATTTCGGAGAACCAGCAGATACCACCTCTGGCTGGACCTAGAGTGGGGTGGGAATGGAGGTTTTACAATATCCTTCCCCCAGGAATGGGGAGGGAATGGGGATTTTTTTTTTTTAATTTGATTTATATGCCGCCCTTCTCGGGAGACTCAGGGCGGCTTACAATGCGTTAAGCAATAGCCTTCATACTTTTGTATATTTTTATACAAAGTCAGCTTATTGCCCCCACAATCCGGGTCCTCATTTTACCTACCTTAGAAAGGATGGAAGGCTGAGTCAACCTTGAGCCTGGCGAGATTTGAACTCGCAGTAATTGCAGGCAGCTGATGTTAATAACTGTTAATAACAGTGCTTTAGTCTGCTGCACTACCAGGCTCCTTCTTTTGCAGTATCCTTCCCCTGCCACGCCCACCAAGGCACACCACACCCACTGAGCCACGCCCACAGAACTTGTAGTAAAAAAAATTGAATTCCACCACTGGATTAAAGTCTTAGTAAGGCCACGCCTGGAATATTGCATCCAGTTTTGGTCACCACGTAAGAAAAAAGATGTTGAGACTTTGAAAAAAAAAATGCAAAGAAGAGCAATTAAGATGATTAAAGGCCTGGAGAACTAAAACATATGAAGAACATATTGGGTTTGGCTAGTCTAAAGAAAAGAAGGACTAACGGTGACATTCGTATTTGAGGGGCTGCCACAAAGAAGAGGGAGTCAACTTATTTTCCATAAGACCAAAAAGCAGAGCAAGAAACGATGGATGGAAACTCATCAAGGAGAGACGCAACCTGGAATTAAGGAGAAACTTCCTAACAGTGAGAAGAATTAACCAGTGGAACAACTTGCCTCCAGAAGTTGTGGATGCTTCATCACTGGAGGTTTTTAAGAAGAGACTGGACAGCCACTTGTTCAGAATGGCATATGGTCTGCTTGAGCATGGGGTTGGACTAGAAGACCTCCAAGATCCCTCCCAGCTCTATTCTGATTGATTGATTGATTGATTGGTTGATTGAATTGTTTCCCCTGTCAGGAAATTTCTCCTTGTTGTAGGTTGGTCCCAGGGGTGGGTTCTAAATTTTTTTACTACCGGTTCTGTGGGCGTGGCTTATTTTGTGGGCGTGGCTTGATGGTCATGTGACATTTTTTTAGGATTTAGCAGAAGTACTGGTCTACCAGGCTTTTAACTGCTTGCAGAGCTGTACCAGTCTACCCATTTGTTCTTGGAGGGTTCCGGTCTACTCATTTGTTTTTCGAGCGCACCGGTCTACCACCACACTGCCTTTTAACACTGATCAGCTGTAGGGCGGCCCTTTGAGCCCCGCGGCAAGAGTTTAAACAGTTTTTTTCCTTCTAGCCGATCAGCTGGGACTCGGGAGGCAGCAATAGATTGGGGGTGGGGCCAGTGGTGGGTTCCTCCTGGTTCGGCCTGGTTTTCCCGAGCTGGTAGCGGTGACGATATGATGTCACCAAACTGGTTCTGCCCCCCCTGCGCCCCCCACCCCCTGCGCGCCCCCCACCCACCCCCGCGTTATTCTTACCTTTTATTTGGCCCCACCCCCAATCTATTGCTGCCTTCTGAGTCCCAGCTGATGACTAGAGGGAAAAAAACTGTTTAAACTCTTGCCAAGGGGCTTCAAAGGGCCGCCCTATAGCTGATCAGTGTTAAAAGCAAACAAATGAGTAGACCGGTGCCTGCAAAAATATATGAGTAGATCAGTGCCTGCAAAAATAAATGAGTAGACCAGTGCCTGCAAAAAATAAATGGGTAGATCGGTACAGTTCTGCAAGCAGTTAAAAGCCTGGTAGACCAGTACCTCTGCTAAATCCTAAATAATTGTCACATGACCATCAAACTACGCCCACAAAATAAGCCACGCCCACAGAACTGGTAGTAAAAAATTTTAGAACCCACCCCTGGGTGGGGCCAAATAAAAGGTAAGAATAACATGGGGGGACGAGGGGGCGAGGGGGGGCCCCAGCTCCCGAACAAAGAGAACCGGTTCATATCGTCATCGCTACCAGTTCGGCCGAACCGGCCCGAACCAAGAGGAGCCCACCACTGGTTGGTCCCCTCCGTCATTTGGAGAGCCTCGTCTGACAAGAAATAAAATGCCGTGAGAGTAGACAGAGTGATAAAATTTGACCCCTGAAGAGAAGAACACAAACAAGAGCAAGCAAGTTGGAGAGATAAGGAAGTCAACTCTGAAACAACAAGTTAACTCTCGGGCGTTGAAACCAGCAGTGTGAAAAAGGCTGCTGAAATCACGCAGAGTGCAATGTGTGAACAAATGCAGCTATCACAAGATAAAATGAAAGCTGCGCTGAAGGGCTGGTGGGAAAACAACAGAACCTAAATATGATGCAGATAATAATGTGGATTATGTATGTATGTATGTATGTATGTCCGTACCTATGGTTATATATGAAGGTACAAGTAGCCCTTCCCTTACAAACCATTTGTTTCGTGCCATTCACATTTACAACAACACTGAGAAAAGTGGCCTATGAAAAAGTTACTTTCACACTTACAGTCCATCTTAATACGCTGTTCATGGTATGTGATGTTTTTGTATACATACAGAGAAAGAAGCACTCTTGTAATCTTTGACTTTTAGGGTTGCTGTCAAACATCAGCCATCATATTACTGACTGTTTTGAACAATAGGCAGGTTGTATTTACACGAATGGCTATTTTATATGTGAAATTATGACTGAGATATTTCTGCACCTATATTGGTTCACACTGTCAGGAAGTTTCTCCTTAGTTTTAGGTTGCTTCTCTCTTCTCTCGTTCAGTTTCCATCCGTTGCGTCTTGTTTTGCCTTCTGGTGCTTTGGAAAATACATTGCCCCCCCCCACTTCTTTCTGGCAGCCCCTTAAAAGCCTGTTGCCTATCACACTCTTGGGCAAAGCATGTGAGCCATTTCCTCCTTTCAGTGGTCCATGAAAGTGCATCTATAGTATGCGGATATTAAAGTTGAAAAAAGGTGAACAACATTTTTACAGAATTATAGGTATGTTGGGTGTGACAAGGAATGGCTGGGAGGGGAGGGGCCAGGCGAGGGACCCCTTGATGTGAGTGACATTGAGTTGGCCACATGACTATCAAGCCACGCCCACTGTCACATATCCATCAAGCCACGCCCACAAAATAAGCCACACCCACAGAACCGGTAGTAAAAAAAAATTAGAACCCACCCCTGCTTACAACCCTGGCTGCCTCCCCACGGTCACTTCGTAAATGATTCGTTTTTATGACGGTTGCAGCATCCTGTGGGGGGGGTGTGTGTGTCACACTATTCCCTTTTGGGATCTTCTGACAAGCAATGTGGAAGCCAGATTCGCTTTACAACCATGATACAAACAGCCACTGCAGTGATTCACATAACAGTAGCAAGAAGGGTCGTATCTACAGGTTATGTAAGTGTAATCTGCCGATTGTATGCTCCTATCTTCTCCAACCTCTGTACATCACCTGGCAGGTAGGTGCTAGTGTGTGTGTGGGCATGAGTGTGTGTGTGTGGGGGGGGAATGCTTACACAATTGCAGTTAATAAAACTTTTGTAGGTTAACAGAGTCCTCGTTCTGTGTTTTGGGTGTTACCTTGAGCAATTCATTACGGGGGAGAAGGAGGAGGAAGAGGAGGAAGAGAGAGGGGGAGAGGAGGGGAGAGGGGGAGAGGAGAGGAGCAGGAGGGAAAGAAGATAAGTAGGAGGAAGAGGGGAGAGGAGAAGAGGAAGAGGAAAGGGGAAGAGAAGAGGGGGGAGAGGGGAGAAAAGGGAGGGGAGAGAAGAGGAAGAGGGGGAAGAGGAGAGAGGAAGAGGGGAAGAGAAGAGGGAGGAAAGTGAGGGGAGAGGGGAGAAGAGGGAGGAGGAGAGAAGAGGAAGAGGAGTGAGGAGGAAGAGAGGAGAGAAGAGGAAGAGAGAAGAGGAAGAGGAAAGGGAAGAGAAGAGGGAGAAGAGGGAGGGAGAGGGGAGAAAAGAAGGGAGGGGAAGAAGAGGAAGAGGGTGAAGAGGAGAGGAAGAGAAGAAGAGGGGAAGAGAAGAGGGAGGAAAGTGAGGGAGAGGGGAGAAGAGGGAGGAGGAGAGAAGAGGAAGAGAGGGAGAGAGAAGAGTGGAGGAGGAGAGAGAAAGAGAAGGGCCTGGTGGCTCAGCAGACTGATAGCATTGTGATTAACACCAGCTCTCTGCAATTACTGTAAGTTCGAATCTCACCAGGCTCAAGGTTGACTCAGCCTTCCATCCTTTCTAAGGTAGGTAAATTGAGGACCCAGTTTGTGGGGGCAATAAGCTGACTTTGTATAAATATACAAAAGTATGAAGACTATTGCTTAACGCATTGTAAGCCGCCCTGAGTCTCCGGAGAAGGGCGGCATATAAATCAAATTAAAAAAAAGAAGAAGAAGAGAGGAGAGGAGAGGAGGAAGAGGAGGGAAAGGAGGGAGAGAAGAGGAAGAGAGAAGAAGAGAAAAGAGCAAGAGGAGAAGGAAGGAAGAGAAGAGGAAGAGAAGAGAGAGAGGAGGAAGAGAGGAGAGGAAGAGAAGAGCGAGAGGAGGAAGAGGAGAGTGAGGGGGAGAGAAGAGGAGAGAAGAAAAGGATGGGGAGGAGAGGAGAGTCTTGACCTGAAAGACAGAAGGGAGGAATGGGCAACACAGTTTAAAGAGTTGGGACAGCCATGGGCTCAGGAAAGGGACTTCAGATATGGATGGAGTACAAATTCTCCAGAGTTGACATCAATCTTTCTCAAACTTGACAACATTTAAGATGTGCGGATATCAACTCCAGAATTTCCCAGCTAGCCGTGCCTGACTTCTGGGAGAATTCTGGGAGTTGAAGTCTTAACACCTCTTAAAGTTGCTACCCAGAAAGCAAGCCTCTACCAATCATTCCACTCAGTCATGTATGTTAGCAATGGATTTATATACCATTTTACAGCCCTAAGCTGTAGTTTACAGACTCAGCCTATGGCCTCCAACAATCTGTTCCTGCATATATATTTTTATTTTATTTTTTTTTTAAAAATTTGCGCAAATTGAAAAAGGGAAGGAGGAGAAATCGTGAGGCCTGCCCGTCAGGCAGCACTTAAAGCTTTTTTTTTTTTTTAAAGAGAATTGCTCCAGTTTCTTGGTCTCACGCATTCGATTTCATGATGTGCTTGATCCAAGGAAGAAAGTCGGCTATGCGGGAATAAACGCCAGGAGGGACTTTACGGCCATAGGAAACGATGCCTTCCACCACTCCTCTGCACACCATAGGACCTCCGGAATCTCCCTGAGGAAAGAGGGAAGCAAATAACCGGTTCTCCCCAGAAAGGAGGAAGAGAAGAGCGAGAGGAGGAAGAGGAGAGTGAGGGGGAGAGAAAAGGAGAGAAGAAAAGGATGGGGAGGAGAGGAGAGGAAAGAGGGAAGCAAATAACCGGTTTTCCCCAGATACGAGGTGTAGGAACCTGCCCTCCCCCACCCCGGAGAGTGAAATCTTTTGGGAATATTAAAAGAGGCAGAATATTATATTTCCCCCAAAGGAGAAATGGAGAAAAAATCTTAACAAAGGCAGAAAGCAGCCCCAACAGCCTCCAGCAGATGCCTGAAGTCTTTAGAGATGGATATTTTATGCCCCTTAAGAAAGACTGGGCCAGCCTATTCACAAACAAAACACCTTCAGCTCCATCTGATGGGATTAAGAAGGACAGGAAGTGACTTTTAGGACATGATACATTTAACCCACCGCCATTAGAATAGCAAATTCCCTCCCCCTCCTCCTTTCACCTTCCTCTTCCTCCCCCCTCCCCTTCCTTCTTTTTTTTTTTTATTGCAAAAGTTTTACAATTACATTTTCACCCCATTTTCCCCCCCCCCTCAACCCACCCAAATCTCCCAACCTCATCCTCCCTAACCCTCCCTAACCCTCTCCTCCCCCCGGACTTCCATACAATATACTCATATCAAGAGAAACCCCCCCCCTTTGTATAAAACTTGAACCCCTCCCTCCCCCTTATAATTTTTTCATCTTCATTACATTAAAATATTTCTATCTTAATATAATATAACATTTTCAAATAAAAACTATTTGATATTTCCTGGTTTGATATTTGTTCTGAATATAATCTATCCACTTTTTCCATTCTTATCTTCTTTATCTTTATCTTTTATTAGATTTGTATACCGCCCTTCTCCTCAGGGCGGTGAACAGCCAGAATAAAAACATTTGTACACAAAAGTTAAAATAATTTTAAAAATAATTAAATGAAATTTGGCCCATAATTTAAAACATTTCTATTAAAAATCAGTATCAAACTTTAAAACCAACATGGAATCAGGCCAGCCCGGCTAACTGGAAAAAGTAAGTTTTTAGGGCCCGACGAAAAGTCCGGTCTGGGGTCTGGATCACTCGTATCTCTGGGGGTAGATCGTTCCAGAGGGTAGGTGCCACCACAGAGAAGGCTCTCCCCCTGGGGGTCGCCAGCCGACATTGTCTGGCTGACGGCACCCTGAGGAGGCCCTCTCTGTGGGAGCGAACCGGCCGATGGGAGGCAATTGTGGCAGAAGGCGGTCCCGTAAGTACCCCGGCCCTAAATCCCGGCCCTAAGCTTCTCTCCCCTCCTCTCCCCCACTTTCTCCTCCTTCTCTTCCTCCTCCTTCTCACCGGGCTCACTACTTTGCATAATCCCCTGCAGCATTTCAGAACCATATAAAAATCCAAGTACTCCTCAAACCAATTTATCAGCTGCCCCAGAACGACATGCTGTTGTTGGTTCTGCTCATCAATAAACCACCTTTCTTTGCAGCCAGTCAGCCTCCGTTTTATTTCCAAGCGTCTTTCTCCCGGTTTGGAACCGGACCGGATTTTTCTTTCAACACAATGATTGGGACTCCCATCATCCCCTGCCAGTCCTTTAGGACATGAGATGGGAGTGGTAGTCCATCCCCTTTGGAAGGCAACAGGCCAAGGACACAAGAGGCTGACAGCGCTAAGCAAGATCCCCAGGAATCTGATAGGGCCTGATCAGGGGTGAAATCTAACATTTGTTACTACCGGTTCTGTGGGCGTGGCTTGGTGGTGGGGGTAATGTGACTGGTTGGGCGTGGCCATTTTTTTTTAACTTTTAAAACCATTTTTTCTACAACCTCTTCGGCGAAGAGGTTGTAAAAAAATGCTTTCAAAAGGCTCTGACGATCCTAGCTGAGTTGCCTGATCGGCAGAGACTTTTTTTCTCTTAAATGCCTCTGACGATCAGGCAACTCAGCTTGGATCGTCAGAGGCATTTAAAAGAAAAAAAGGGTTTTTTCTTTTAAATGCCTTTGATGATCCCAGCTCAACCGTGCGATCATCAGAGGCTTTTTTTTTACTTTTAAAAGCATTTTTTCGGCTGAAGAGATTGTAGAAATAATGCTTTTAAAAGTAAAAAAAAAAGCCTCTGATGATTGCGCGGCTCAGCTGGGCAATGGGCGGGGGGCAGGGATTTTTGCTACCAGTTCTCCGAACCACCCACCTCCATTGCTACAGGATCGGGCAATCCGGTCCGAACTGGGAGCATTTCACCCCTGTCAGGTAGAACAACAATAAGCCTTAGAATTGACCATGATGGGATCTAAGATCAGCCCTCAACGGTAAAAGAATCAGCAGTCAAGAAATACAGGTAGTCCTCAACTTACGACCACAATTGAGCCCAACATTTAGCTCGCTAAGTGAGAAATTGGTTAAGTGACTTTTGCCCCGTTTTATGACTTTTCTAGCCACAGTTGCTAAGTGAATCACTGCCGTTGTTATGTTAGTAACACAGTTGTTAAGTGAATTGGGTTTCCCCATTGAATTTGCTTATAAGAAAGTCACAAAATGGGATCACATGACCCCTGGGACACTGCAACCGTCATAAATACGAGTCAGTTGCCAAGAGTCTGAATTTTGACGGTCCTAAGTGTGAAAAATGGTCATAAGCCATTCTTTTCAGTGCTATTGTAACTTTGAACGGTCGCTAAACAAACTGTTGTAAGTCGAGGATTACCTGTACACACAAACCAGCTCTTGGTAGGGCAGCCATGAAGTCTTGGAAAAGATATTCAGATGTTGGGAAGTCTCCATTCCTACAAAAATCAGAATTATGCAAGCAATGGTCTTCCCAATGACCTTCTATGGAAGCCAAAGTTGGACTTTGAAGCAGGGGTGAAATGCTCCCGGTTCAGACCGGATCACCTGATCCGGTAGCGATGGCAGCGGGTGGTTCGGAGAACCGGTAGCAAAACTCCCTGCTCTCCCCCATTGCCCAGCTGAGCCCACGATCATCAGAGGCTTTTTTTTTTTTTTTACTTTTAAAAGCATTTTTTCTACAACCTCTTCCGATGAAAAAATGCTTTAAAAAGTAAAAAAAAAAGCCTCTGATGATCCCGCGGCTCAGCTGGGATCGTCAGAGGCTTTTCAAAGCATTTTTTTTTCTGCAACCTCTTGGCCGAAGAAGTGGTAAAAAAAATGCTTTGAAAAGTCTCTGACGATCCCAGCTGAGTTGCCTGATCGGCAGAGGCTTTTCAAAGCATTAGAAAAAATGCTTTGAAAAGTTTTTTTTTTTAAGTTGGCCACGCCCACCCAACATTACACCCTCCCCCACCAAGCCACGCCCACAGAACCGGTAGTAACAAATTTTAGATTTCACCCCTGCTTTGAAGGTTGGGAAGGGGATTGATGCCGTCAGCCTTTGTAGTTAGAGGAAACTGTGGACAGTCAAGATAACAGCCAATGCACTGATGAACAAGTGAATGCAGAGTTCTCACTCAAGGTGACACAAACGACCAGGCTCAAATTATCGTACTTTAGACACATGATGCAAAGATAAAGAGTTCCTTTGAGAAGTCCATCATGCTGGAAAAGGTAGAAGGGAAGAGAAGAAGAGGGGCACCAGGAGCAAGGGAGATGGACTCAGTTACAGGGGCTGCTGGGGGTTTGCACAGGTTCGGGAGAACCTCTAGCTAAGATTCTGTGCAGTTAGGAGAACCCCCAAATTCCACTCCTGGCTGGGCCCGCCCACTCCACCCTACCCCTCCCAGGAGTCCCCACACGGCCCATTTTGGATGCAGGTAAGTCCAGGGCACGCATGGAGGCTCGGGGAGGGCGAAAAACAGGCCTAATGGAAGTTCGGGAAGGGCCTCCGGAGCCTGGGGAGGCCGTTTTCGCCCTCCCGGAGGCTCGAAGAAAGCCTCCAGAGCCCAGGGACGGCAAAAAAACCCCTCCCCCACTGTGGTGCAGGAGACTGACTAGGCCATGCCTACCATGGCCACACCCATCCAGCAACTGGGCAGAGAACCCCTTGCTAAAATTTTTGAAGCCCCCCCCCCCGCTCAGTTACAGTGGTGTTGGAAGAGTTGAAGGACCAGGTGGGAGATAGTTATGGAGAAAATCTATCTATGTGGTTGATTTCATCCATCCATCCATCTTTCAATCCATCCATCCATCTTTCCATTCTTCCTTCCTTTCTTCTATCATCTTTCCACCCATCCACCCATCCATCCTTCGATCCATCTATCTTTCTGTCCATCCCTCTTTCCATCCATCCATCCTTTCTGCCACCCACCCACCCACCCATCCTTCCTTCCATCCATCCATCCTTCCTTCTTTTCTTCTTTTTTCCTTCCTTCCATCCTTCTTTCCTTCCTACCATCTTTCCACCCATCCATCTTTCCATACTTTCATCCTTCCATCCTTTCTTTCTTCCATCCATTCTTCCATCTACTCTTCCATTCTTTCATCCTTTTTTCTTTTATCTATCCATCCATCCATCCATCCATCCATCCCTTGTCATGAATGTTCTTCCCCTACTGTTTTTTTCAAGATATATTTCATATATACTTCATTAAGTTTTATTCTGCTCAACGAAACACAAACCTGTAACTGGGTTACAGCACTCGGCATCTCTGATTTTGTGGCAATCCCAGCTGTGGGCGATGGTTGCCAGAGGGGATGATGGTTCTCAGTTCTGAGTCAACAGTTGTGTACTCATCCCTCTTAGAACACATTCAACCACAAAACAAGCCAAGTCCATTTTCCCCATCTAACTGCATGTATCAAATCTCTGTGGTTAGTTTAAGACTCGGTGTCTCTTGTGAACCGAGAATGGTGGGTTAATTGAGTTAACGGTAAGGGAAACACCGACTTTGATTTAATTTCATATTGGAAATCTTCTCGAAATATGCTCTGTGTCCTTTTTGCAAAACAAAGTGGCTGTGTGGAAGGGAGATTGTGCATCAACCAGATGGGCTAGCTTGGTTCACCCAAAGCGGCCGACT